AAGAAAACAAATTAAACTTTTTTGCCTAAAAACTTTCCCAATCACAACTTTGATGAAGTTATTCTACTTTGGGTTAGTCAGAGCTTATAAAAAATATATATACAGGAGATCAGACACAAATTTCATGCACTAGACAAAAAAATTTTTTAAATGAACCAATAAAAATATCAAAATCAAGTTAAGAAAATAGACAAGAGTCCATCTTGCCTGCCAACCCCAATCCTTTTTAACATGTAACTCTCAACCTCACCCCCATTACTACGATCCTTTGATGACTGCTTTTGAAATGAACTCATTGCATATTCTACTGCCACAGAGTACAGAAAGTTTCTTACAAAGTGATAACATGGATAAATTTACAATAGACTCAATAGTTACTTGTCTGTAATTGTCAAAAAAAAGTGCATGAATACTGATAGAAATTCATTATAACAGTTGGTAAACTCTCCCAAAATATGTATCTACCATCTCAATATAGTTTATTTAATTACCTAGAACAAAGAGATACATTTTACAGCTACACCATTGATTGGAATTATTTACTATTCAGAAATCACATCTCATTAGACATGAGTAAACATTGTGTTACAGCCATTGTATGTGGATTCATAACACGTTTTTAAAATTTACCAGCTAAAATCATCTTGTATATTTTAACATGGTATTGAACTTAGATGATTGGGTCAACTCATTCTTTTACTAGAATACCAATCAACTTGGGTGTGTGTGGGGTGGGGTGGACAGGACTCTCGGCCCTACCAACAGGTTCTCTAAGAGAACTAGCTTCAAAACTAACCTCATACAAATTTTTCTAGGTGGGAATTTTGGTCAGGCAAACACCTACCATTTACTGATTATATTTCTAATTATATGGATTTGCATTTAATCAGTACCAGGTCCTGAAAAAAAAGAATACAATCTCAAACTACTTAAAATACAATTTTCATCTAAAAAAAAAACAGGCCATCAGAAACCAAGGTACCTACATCATTTTACTTAAACTAGGAATATCATTACTGTAACTGAAAAATACACTGATATCCTACTATGAGGGTTCTCTTGGAGTGCCAGGCCCTAAGAGGTACAGAATACATTTGAGGGGGAAGAAGTGGGGGAGGTTACGGAGGGACAGATGGTTTCAAAAGAATTATCCTTGTAAAACTGACTCATTCATTTGCTCTTTGAAAGAATACTGCTCAACATATTTTTCTTTTATAATGATACATATGCAAAATTTCTTGTGAAGTTCAGCTTTGGCTAAGAAGAGAAACCATGATTTTTAGTTCATGAAAAGTTGCATGATCATGTTTGCACTTCATTTTTACCAACAGAAACCTTCAATCCTATATATCTACTTTAATTTTTATTTACATCTAATGTATGTTTACCTTATAATCTCATGTTTTACTTTTAGAGTTATTTATCATAGACCATATGACATCTTTGGGATAAAAGAAAGTAAACATACCTTTCCTCCCTGAACTCAGTCTTATTATAGTTGGGTATCTCAGTTATAAATGCATATAAATAAATTACATGGCCCCTAAAAGTTTATTATATATAGTCCCTAAAGTGTAACTGTAATGTATACTGAATTCACAATTCATTTGATTATTTCTAAACATCACAACATTAACAAATTAATATGAATTTTCATGTACTTTTCATAGTTGAGTGAAATTTATAGAGTATTCAAAAGTAAAGATGTTGGATATAGAATATTAAATGTCATATAATTACCTAGCATGTTCTACTCTTTCTACTGTTGAATAAATATAAAATTCCTTGTGTGGGAACTTATCATCAAACCAAATGCTTTATACTCAATGTGAAAATTCAGTCACAGTTGTCAAAGATTAAGCTGCTACTTCTGATAACAAACATGATTAGATATCATCTTGTTCAATATATGCTTTCAACTTGACATGTAGGCTAATAAAATTATGAAGTTGTAGTATATATTTTGTTATTTGTACAATAGAAACCTCCTAAGAGAAATGACCAAAATATCATTGCAGAAAATAGTCAACTATATTAATCTGGAGACAGATTAACTAGTTTGCAGATTATAGCAAAATAGTAACAGCATGCCTTTGCAAAAGATTTTAAAATTACTGTGTATCATCTACTGTATATCAGTATGAGAGGATGTCTGTTTTCAACTACATAAAAAATAAAAGCCACAAGATTGTGTCCACTGTATTGGGTTGATTGCAGTCACTCATTCAATAACTATTTTAGCTACTTGAGAATTTACTATGCACCAAGAACTGTAATAAACTATTCCACTTCATTAATCAGACATCATCTCTTGCCAACAGCTCTCTTGAGGAAGGCACGAGGGAGGGCATTCTGTCAACTTTTGTGAGTTGACTGCAGTTCTAAGATGCAAAAACTAAAGAGGAACAGACCCAGCACTAGGAAACACCCTCCGGATTTGTAGGACGTCTCCTCCACCTTGCTCCTCCATCCTGTCTTTCTCCCTTTGCTTGTCTTCTCAGGAAAAGCCTGAACCTGGTAGTCTTGCTTGCCTCCTTGTCTGTCAGCCTCCAAGTTCATAATTACCACACCCTGACAATTCCCTAGATGCTCCGTGAATGCATACACAGTCCTCCAACCCCTCTTCCATTCTATCTCAAACCCTTTTGTCACACCTCAGCTTGGACCACCATCATCTCAAAGCACAGTGCCTGTTTTATAATGGACACTCCAATAGTTTCTAAATAAACAGCTTTACTCAGATACTTTTTAAGACACTGAAGTAAACAAGAGAAAGGAAATGATAACAGCCTGAACTCATTCTCTTTTGAGCAACCACTTCAAACATGTTGACAGCAAGGAGTTATCTTTGACTCCTGCCCCTTTACTGTTCACCACCCCCCACATAAACTATCTTCCTCATCTTCTCAGCTCTATTTCCTCTGTCACTCTTCTGGGTCAAGTGCTACATGCCCACCATCCTCTCCCCGAATCACAAAGCCCCTCCCCACTGTAACCCCCTAATCCAGTGCTGTCCAATAGAACTTTCTGCAATGCTGGAAACATGCTGTATTTAAACTGCCAACATGTAAAGATTCACTTGAAATACAGCAAGTCTGACCAAAGAATTAAATTTGTATTTAAATTTTAATTAATTGAAATTAAATAGTCACATATGGCTAATGGTGACAGTACTGGACAGTACAGCTTTAACTGCCTTCCAATGCTGCTATTAGAATTATCTTCTTACAAGACATCCTGAAGTTATTTGCCTTGCAGAACTACCAGGTCTGCATAAAGTCTTCACCGTAAGGCATAACAGTCGAGGCTCCTCATGATCTAGATCAATTACTACCTTGTTTCCATTTTCTCCAGTCCTCTCTCATCTAGGCTACGACTGTACTGGATCACTCGGTGTGCTCACACATGCCATGAGAAAACCCATTAAGCTAACTGCTGACACTTGCTTAGAATGCCTTTCCCTCTCAGGGAACATCCACTCATCCTTACAGATCCAGATCCAGTTCCAGCACCAACTCCTGCTCCTCTCTGAAAGCTTAAATGCCCTCCCTTAGCTGAGCCAGCCTCTCTCTAAATCCGAAATCTGCAGCCATAACTTTTTGTATATAGCTCCATTAAAACATAATCATAACTAATGGTATACATGTGAAAAATATGAGTTCCATGTATGCCAGGATATTATTAATCATGCACATTAAATGAGATGATCAGGTCAAGCCCTCAGCACAAGTTGCACTGTATAAATGTGCAAAGTTGTCAATACATTTATTATGAATTGCACCACCCCTGTCAGGGATCTTCACTGAATATAGCAGACAAGGAAACAAGGAGACAAAAATAAAATGACAGAGGTGGGAGAGGGAAGAATCTCACAAGGCAATGGACCGAGAAGAGGCTTATGTCAGGGAAATAATGTAAGAAAAGCCATGAAAGCACCGACAGATTAACTATTCAGTAAACCCACAGCTAACACTGATGTGGTCTTTCACCTTCCCTAACTGGCAATACCAATATAGGTTTCCCCAATATAGGACTTATAGAGCATTCCTATAAGTCCTTTCTTAAGTTGAAATGGTATTAAGTGCAGAATTACCATTTTGGAAAAGCAAAAATCCTCTTTGGATTTATGTTGTTAGCAGAAACAGGTACCAATGTAGGTCTTTCATAAAAGTGAAGGGGCAAAAAGTGAACTTTCAGATAGTCGGGGAGACCTGTAATCAAATTCCTTAACCAGGGAGTATAGAGTTTACCAGGTCAAGAACAAGAGAAAGCTTTTCTTGTGATGTGTAATGGAGAAGAATATGTTGTAAGCAGATCAATAAAGCACTATTACTACAGCCCAGTTCTAAGGAAAAAACTGTTATATAAAATATTGAATATATTTGCCAGAAGGAAATTTAACCTGTGAAAGAATCCAGAAGAAAAAATCTCTGTAATTACTCAATTTTTATATCCTCTAAAATTATATTAAGACGCAACGATTATGGCTTTTCAAAATCATCAATGACAATGAGGTATGTTTATTCCTAATATAATGATTTTCCCTTTACATAAAGCAACATCACTTTTCTCTCCTTATACTCCACTTAAAAAATTAAAAAAGCAAAGAATCATTCAAATAGCTAAAGGTGAAAACTGTAGTAGTATTCCTAAGCAATTCTCAATATATACTCCATTTGCTGGTACCTGAATTAAATATCTAAATAATGTTCAGCAATATTTTGATGTGCCATTCCATTAGTTTGAGAAAGCATAGGTTTATGACATAATTTTGCTATTAAACAGAATCCTTCAGTTGGATTTGCAGATCAGAGAAAATATTTGGATTTTGTTCAAAGGTTGAATAAATTAGCTGAGTTCACTCTGGGTGTGGGTTCATGGTTCAGTTCCAGTTCCTCATAATGAACACATCAAAATAAAAATATTTAAATAATGTAACCAGGGCTGACATTTAAGAGTAAGTGTTCAAGTATATACGTATTTTTAAAAAACAAACTCACTTTACAGAGAGAGCTCAGGTTAAATCCAAAGGTTTGTGCATTCTGGGAGCCAGCATTCATGTAGTTTCCCATTAGCAAAACAAGTTCCAGCAACTTGCTAAAGCTTTTGCTTTTCTTTATCTCCTCACAGGCAGTGCTGATGGCCATGATGTCAGATTTGAAGTTGTTCACCTGATCTTCAAACTGCAGCTTAAAGAGAATAGCACTGAGCCGTAGCCGTAGTCTCTTCACATCGCTCATCTGATTGAAAAGAAAATAGCACATTTCCTTTAAAATGCGTGATATGCTTTAGTACTGTACGACTACAAGTAATCTGGGATGATTTATTGGTATGACAATACTGAAGAAGCAATATGTCCCCTAAAACTGATGGCAGGGAGAGAAAAGCCCTGCTTGCCTTTGTGAAGAATCCAGAGCCATCCCTCAAAGGAAAAAATGAAGAATCCAGATAGATGCTGAATGAAAAGAAAGCTTCAATGAAATGACAAAGTTAATAAAGTAATAAAGTACATAGAATTATTTTTTAAAAACAGAAATTTAAAAAGGTAACAGGATACAGAGGCAACAAATTGCAAAGCATTCATATCTTAACTTTAAATTTTGTTCAGTACTAAAATATGCTGGATTATACTTTAAAACATATTCAGAAAGTTCTGAAAAAGGTTTTTTTCCATTATCTGCTGTCCTCAGAAGTACTACAAGAAACAGTGTATATTTAGATGGTGAGTAAAATAGGTCTCAATTTGTAATAAATTGACTTTCTTCACAAACACAGTAAAGTAGAATGACTCCTGACACATACTAAATTACTAAAGTCAGAGTTAGGGAAAATGAGCCTAACAGTAGATAGAAGCAGTGCAAACCCACAGGTCCTTGACATGCCAAATTAACACTTTTTAGGACTCTGGGTTTCCTTGCTGGGAATGTGAGGGGTTGAAATTATCACAAAGAAAAAAAGGCTAGAGGGTCAGCAAGTTCTTGCCTTAAACTTACTTTCCTGTGTTCTATCAATACAATACATGTGATGGGAAGAGCCACTTCCACCTGAAGGCTGGAGATGAAAGGCATTTAACTTATATATATATAATGCAGATATCAAGCAGATATCAATATATATATATATATCATGCAGATATATCAAGCAGATAATGAATTCCTTGACCAAACTAAACATATTAGGGATTCCAGAATAAAAACACACTGATGGGCCAGTAACAATAACACTGCTGAGCTTCAAAAATTACTTTGCAGGAGGAGCCAAGATGGAGGCATGAGTAGGGCAGTGGAAATCTCCTCCCAAAACCATATACATTTTTGAAAATATATACAAATACAACTATTCCTAAAAGAGAGGCCAGAAGATACAGTACAACAGTCAGACTACATCTACATCTGCAAGAACTCAGCACTTCACAAAGTGGGTCAGATACAAGCCGTGGCCCACCGGGACCTGAGTGCTCCCCCAACCCCAGCCCACTGGTGGGAGGAGAGGAGTCAGAGAGGGGAGGGAGTGGGAGCCCAGAAGTGCTAAATACCCAGCACTAGTCATCTGTACCAGGAGTGCAGACACACAGTGTTCATGGTGCGCTGGATATTAGGGAAACGGAACAGTAAAACCTACGAGCGGGTCCCCGCAGCCAGTGCCCCTGGGACCAAAAAAAAAGTGAGTGCTTTTTGAAAGTCTTAAAGGGACAGGGACCCCCACAGCTGGATGGAACCATCACAACACACCCAGCTCAGCAGGCTGGGAATCCTGGGGAATTTCGGGCACCCTAAGCCCTGGCTCTGAAACCCCTCACAGTGATAAACAGCCTCCAGTCCATTCCCCCTCCTGCATGGCCCCACCAAAGCAGGGGAGCAGCCTGAGAACAGGCGCGCCAACAGCAGCTGAACAGAGCCTCCGCCACAGCCACCAGGGTAAGACAAAGAGGCCCCACTGGCACGTGCCAGCCAAGCACAGACAGAGAGAAAGCCAGGAGAGGGTGCAAAGGGTCGCTATTCTCACAGGAGAGCAGACCCCACACACCTGCCACTCCCCACAGGGCTCTGGGCTTCCCCGATGACTGCACCGCCCACAGTAGCTCAGGAAATAAAACCAGAAGCTGCTCCCCAAGTGCGGGAAACCAGCACAGGCAGTGGAGAAGGGCAAAGTGCAGGAAGGGATGTTGTTCTACCAGCTGACACATGCACTAATTGCCTATGAATACCTCTATCACCATGAAAAGGCAGAAGAATTTGAACCAGTCCAGAATTACACAGACAACCCCCGAGAGGGAGCCTGGGAAGATAGATTTAACCAATTTCCTGAAAAAGAATTCAAAATAAATGTCATAACCATGCTAACGGACCTGCAGAGAAATATGCAAGAGCTAAAGGATGAAGTTAGGAGGGAGAAAACAGAAATAAAACAATCTCTGGAAGGACATAAGAGCAGACTGGATGAGGCACAAGAGGCCTTTAATGGAACAGAAATCAGAGAACAGGAACAAAGAGAAGCTGAGGCAGAGAGAGAGAAAAGGATCTCCAGGAATGAAAGAATATTAAGAGAACTGTGTGACCAAACTAAACAGAACAATATTCACATTATAGGGGTACCAGAAGAAGAAGACAGAGAAAAAGGGATAGAAAGTGTCTTTGAAGAAATAATTGCTGAAAACTTGACCAAACTGGGGGAGGAAATAGTCTCTCAGACCATGGAAGCCCACAGAACTCCCAACACAAGGGACCCAAGGAGGACAACACCAGGACATATAATAATTAAAATGGCAAAGATTAAGGACAAGGACAGAATATTAAAGGCATCCAGAGAGAGAAAAAAGGTCACCTACAAAGGAAAACCCATCAGGCTATCATCAGACTTCTCAACAGAAACCTTACAGGCCAGAAGAGAATGGCATGATATATTTAATGCAATGAAACAGAAGGGCCTTGAACCAAGAACATTGCATCCAGCATGATTATCATTTAAATATGAAGGAGGGATTAAACAATTCACAGACATGCAAAAGCTGAGGGAATTTGCCTCCCACAAACCACCTATACAGGATATTTTAAAGGGACTGCTCTAAATGGAAGCACTCCTAAGGCTAAATAGATGTCACCAGAGAAAATAAAATTACAGCCAGAAAGCAGACCAGCCAAACACTAACTAAAGGTAAAAAATAAAATAAACCACCCATAAAAGCAGTTAAAGGAAACACAAAAGAGCACAGAATAAAACACCTAACATTTAAAGAATGGAGGAGGAAAAATAAGGAGGGAGAGAAATAAAGAATCATCAGATCGTGTTTATAATAGTTTAATAAGTGAGTTAAATTAGAAGGATAGATAGTAAAGAAGCTACCTGTGAACCTTTGGTAACCATGAATCTAAAGCCTGCAATGGCAATAAGTACATATCTTTCAATAATCACCCTAAATGAAAATGGACTGAATGTACCAATCAAAAGACACAGAGTAATAGAATGGATAAAAAAGGAAAACCCATCCATATGCTGCTTACAAGAGACCCACCTCAAACTCAAAGACATGCACAGACTAAAAGTCAAGGAATAGAAAAAGATATTTCGTACAAACAACAGGGAGAAAAAAAGCAGGTGTTGCAGTACTTGTATCAAACAAAATAGACTTCGAAACAAAGAAAGCAACAAGAGACCAAAAAAGGATATTACATAATGATAAAGGGCTCAGTCCTACAAGAGGATATAACCATTATAAATACATATGTACCCAATACAGGAACACTAACATATGTGAAACAAATACTAACAGAATTAAAGGAGGAAATAGAATGCAATGCAATCATTATAGTAGACTTCAACACACCACTCACTCCAAAGGACAGATCCACCAGACAGAAAATAAGTAAGGACACAGAGGCACTGAACAACACACTAGAACAGATGGACCTAACAGACATCTACAGAACTCTACACCCAACAGCAGCAAGATACACATTCCTCTCAAGTGCACATGGAACATTCTCCAAAATAGACCACATACTAGGCCACAAAAAAAGCCTCAGTAAATTCAAAAAGACTGAAATTTTACCAATCAACTTCTCAGACCACAAAGGTCTAGAATTAAATTCTACAAAGAAAGCAAAAAGGCTCACAAACACATGGAGGCTTAACAACATGCTCCTAAATAATCAATGGATCAATGACCAAATTAAAATAGAGATCAAGCAATATATGGAGACAAATGGCAACAACAGCACAAAGACCCAACTTCTGTGGGACCCAGCAAAGGCAGTTCTAAGAGGAAAGTATATAGCAATCCAGGCCTATTTAAAGAAAGAAGAACAATCCCAAATGAATAGTCTAAAGTCACAATTATTGATATTGGAAAAAGGAGAACAAATGAGGCCCAAAGACGGCCGAAAGAGGGACATAATAAAGATCAGAGAAGAAATAAATAAAATTGAGAAGAATAAAACAACAGAAAAAAATCAATGCAACCACGAGCTGGTTCTGTGAGAAAATAAACAAAATAGTTAAGCCCCTAGCCTGACTTATTAAGAGAAAAAGAGAATCTACACACATCAACAGAATGAGAAACAAGAAAGGAAAAATCACAACAGACCCCACAGAAATACAAAGAATCATTAGAGAATACTATGAGAATCTATATGCTAACAAGCTGGAAAACCTAGAATAAATGGACAATTTCCTAGAAAAATACAACCTTCCAAGACTGACCAAGGAAGAAACAGAAAATCTAAACAGACCAATTACCAGCAACAAAATTGAAGTGGTAATCAAAAAACTCCCCAAGAGCAAATCCCCTGGGCCAGATGGATTTACTGCAGAATTTTACCAGACATATAGAGAAGAAATAATACCCATTCTCCTTGAAGTTTACCAAAAATAGAAGAGGAGGCATTACTTTCAAACTCATTCTATGAAGCCCGCATAACTCTAATACCAAAACCAGGCAAGGACCCCACCAAAAAAAGAAAATTACAGACCAATATCCCTGATGAACATACATGCAAAAATACTCAACAAAATATTAGCAAATCAAATTCAAAAATACATCAAAGGGATCATACACCATGACCAAGTGGGATTTATCTCAGGGATGCAAGAATGGTACAACATTAGAAAATTCATCAACATCATCCACCACATCAAAAAAAAAGGACAAAACTGACATGATCATCTCCATAGATGCTGAAAAAGCATTTGACAAAATTCAACATCCATTCATGATAAAACTCTCAAGAAAATGGCTATAGAG